GCACTTGCGTTTGAAGGGACATGCCAGGATTCTCGCTGCTTTCGCTTCCATATGTCAGTAATGAGGCTCCTAAATGCCTTGACAGATCTAGGTCGACCAACGCATACATGCTAAAGCCCACACCACAGGACCATGCAGGATTAAGAGAAATAGTCAAAAAGCAGGTGGACTCACAATTTCTTGCCTGTCAACATTGAAGATCCGGTGAAGTTGCTGAGTTATTGAAGACCGGCGTCTTCTCTTATTCTGGGGGTTTTGTTCCATTCTCACTGATGCTCCTCTAACCGACAATGAGACAGACAATGCGGGGCCCTGTCACGTATGGCGAAGCCGTTGAATCTGAATCTGATCGCAGAGAAGTCTCCCCAAATAATCCGTTCAGGCTTAGACTGGCAGATTCGCAATGAGATTTTCCATGGAACACAGTAAGAAAAAAGTACTCTTGAAGCACTCGAAAAACAACGGGAATTTCTGATTTCGTCATTGGACGAGTAACATCAGTGAGAGCCTGAACTGGCAGACGATGTGCACCGATTTAAAACGACTCTTCTGGTTTCAAATTATCTCGAGATGGCGAAAAGGCCAGTCAACACCTCCGGGTTGGGAGTTATTAGACCTCAATGGTTTTTCTTTCTGAACTGCTACCTGTCGTGACTGGGCCAGCCTCAAATTTGCCCGATGCTGCAGCCGCATGTGATGCATTGATTTGATTGGAGAGAGGGGGAAAGGTCTCAGCTACCTCCCACAGCCTTAGAGACAGGTACTCAAGCCTTTCTGTACTCCGACCTCCGTACCTTAGCAGAGTTCATCATTTGTTTTTGCATAGAACTGACCCTCTCGAAGGCGATAGTAACGACATATAAGGGGTGACGTTGATGAGGGAGGAAAGTGAAAAATGGTATTTCTGTTGATGATACCTGCTTGCGACAATGACTTAAAGCTACGGCTTCATATTGATACTACTATTAGCTACCCCACAAGCGAGCTAAATTTGATGTTCATTCCCAACCAAGGTAGTGAAGTGGAGAATGGAGAAGAATCAGTTCATCGACTGATGTGTTTCCACTCGGGCCTTACCAGTGCTGTTCCATGGATAGGTGGCTCACTCTAACTGCGATACCTCAGGTTGATCTGATAAAAAGCCAAGATAGAAACTTCGTTTGATGACATAATGTGAGCAAGCAAGGAGTGGCAGAGTACTCATAGTATCCAGGTTCAGCTCTTGCATCTCTCATCGAAGTCGTCCACTTCTCCTCGTTGAAACCATTGTATACGGAGTCTGATCATCTGGATTGTACCAAGCATAGCCACGCTTGGCAGCACCCAGCAAAGCCAAACGGCTACGGAAGCGTCACCAACCTAGTCGAGTCGCTGTCTATCATCAGCGTCTGACCCTTCTCTTATTTACTAGAGAAAAACAATTATTTTGCGCCCGCACAAAGAGATCTTACTGGGAAGGATATTATTTTGGGAAAGACATCCCTCCGGTGATCTGTTTACTATGAGCGATCGCACCAACTTCCAGGTACCACCTCCAAGCTATCATGCTTCCCAAGCAGCATGGCATCCTGCGCAAAATGATAGCGGGCGAGCCCAGCCTGCTCCTCCTCCATATCACAACTGGCAGGAACTGGTGCCCGACACAGCAACATTGCCTCCGCCGCCGGTGACAGGCTATTTCTGTTCAAATGCTGGCAACGCATCCCGTGATGACGCAGAGCGCGCTCATGAATTCTGCGACAGGGTGCCTTTGCATCCGCCGGCGAAGCCTTCGGCTGCTGTCTATGACTGTGTACAGAGATATGACCTCCGCCCTGCGCAGCCGAGTGAGTTTCATGGTAGCCTGACTGTCACACACCCAGGTCTATGGAAGGGTTCTACGAAGAACGGGAACGGCGACTGCATAATTACCACAAGCCTGCCTCTTTATTTTCCAATTAATGATTCCCCTTATGTCACCGAAAAGAGCAAAACTATATATTTCGAGGTCAAATTGCTTGGTCTCCGTACCGGGCCTGGGACTGGGTCTGCTGATTCGAGCGGGTTATCTATTGGATTTGTCGCGCAGCCTTATCCCTCTTGGCGGTCTCCCGGCTGGGAGAGGGGTAGCCTTGCTGTTTTCTCTGATGACGGTTGTCGCTTCGTGAATGATTCGTGGGGAGGGAAGCAATTCACAGACGCCTTTAATGTGAACGATACTGTTGGTCTGGGGATGGTCTTTCACCTTCCAGAACATCTAAATGGAGCTTCAGGAACCGCGTGTAAGAGACTCCAAGTCGATGTCTTCTTTACTAGAAATGGGCAAAGAGAAGGAGCCTGGAACCTCCATGAAGAAGTCGACCAGGAGGCTGGAGGCGTTGAGGGATTGGAAGGAGACTATGACTTATATGGTGCCATAGGACTCTTTGGTGGAGTCGACTTCGAAGTCTGTTTTCATCCCGCTGGCTGGTTATGGAAGCCTAGTGATGGGTCATGATATGTTCGCTCACCCTGGTATTTGAGAATGATAGCTGATGATCCATGTATTGCCCTGAGAAATGTGCTTCAACTGTTTGATACACATTAGGATACTCTTCCGGTCAATGTATGCCATGAGACTGCAAAGCTGAAGGAGCTTGCCAGACAAAGGCAGCTTTGTTTACTTATTGTACGCTTTCTGCATTGGTCGCCCAAGGAGCGCGGACAGAAGCATGGAGGAGTCTTCTCAGCAAAGGCTCCTCGACTTCCCCTGAAAGTGCTGAGCAACCTAATGTCAAATCGATACGATGATGTAGGAGAGTAGAGTTTCATAGTCGGAGCCGTAGGGGCTGGATGCGGAGTAATTGCCGAGGACAAGAACTTCTAGAATACTTCATGCAACATGAGCCACGATGCACGCTTTTGCATAGACGCATTAGTGCTTCGGGGGGAAGCATGAGCTGCATTTCCGCTACTGCCTGGTAGACCGATGTTGGCAGGGCCTGAGCAATACCGGTGCGCCTATAGGCAAACCTGCTGATACCTTACCTGCCGGCAGAGACAGCAGAATGCTGATGTCATGGTCTACCTTTGTGGATGAGCAGCTGCTCATAGCGGGACTTCTCCGATTGACCTAGCGAACACATGATATAGATCCAGTTCGGGCCCGGAACTTCACAGAACCTTCCATGACTGACATGCGATCTCATTCGACTCTCGATGCCAATTTGTGGAAAGCACGCCCTAAACATCATCCGATGTCTTGCTCCTAGGTATGATTGGTGATTATTTGCTGTTTTGATGCAATGAGCGTTGAAATTGACGTACTGCTAAGGTTCGATCAAAGCCTCATGCGCATTTAATCTTCCTATATTTTTGTTCATGGCTCTCAAACTCACTGGGCCCTCTTCAAGTGAAGAAGGGGAGAAAACTGAAGAGAGCCCCAGTACAAAAGCAATGTTTTGTCAGCGATGTGACGTGCTGGATAGTGCTTGCCGACCATTAGATAGAGCATTTGTAACCAGCATCCCGAAGGAGCAAGTCTATAAGAGTACAACAAGGAGGATCATCATTGCATTGTTGGGTGCATCCTTTTCCTGTAAGTCTGACCTGATGTAGCCATCGTGCTATTTTTATGCTTCAAACAACTTGTAGACCGTCTCCATAGACAGTCTCCAGTCTCCAGTACACGATAGTAATGACTAGGTACCCTGAAATGATTGTGGGACTGTAGCCTGTAGCTACAGAGTTTCGATCAAAAGGGCCAGAGCTCGGATATTTTCCGCACCTCTCGGCTCGAAGTTCAGTGTAAGGAGAGGTCTCTAATACCTTCCAAAGGGAGTCACGTACTTCCAGCTAGGACAAAGAACGCGGGAGGAAATTCCCAATGGGACTCCTGGCCAATCTTTCCATTTAATGCTGAGAACCGTTATTAGTTTGTAAAATAATATCCACTGTGTCTTGGTTTTAGCCACCGGTGATAATCAACTATCAAGTCAGCAAGCTAAAGTTGACAGTGGAGTCAGGCTAGTTAAGCTAGCTTGAAAGCAGGCTGCAGTAGTCAATACGGAGTAGATGGACTAATGTATCTAGACTATGGAGTAGCAGGGCTATGAGAAACTAGTAAACGTCCTCGTCGTGTGCGTAATTTAAGACCTCGGATCTTTTGCGATGGAGATAACAGCACGTCGAAAAATGGACAAATTAGCCAGCTAAAAAGTGAGGCGAAGTGAACAAATCTACTGTGTACTCTGTAGATACAATATGGTCCACGCTGTCGCCGCTCATACATTTAATCAATGGCCTAAGCAAGAACAGGAAGGTCAGCGCTATCCTTGGAGAGACACCAGGATGTTGTTCACATGATCGACATTTCGTCTTGACATTGATTTGAGAAGCTACCCATTCTGGCCTGCGAAGCTAGTTGTACCGGATCCCGTATGCGACCTGCACAAGTCTGCAGTCTCGCCGATAGGAGTTGCCAGCCAAAGACAGTGCATTATTTGCTAAGACCACAAAGCACGAGCGGTCGCGCGATGGTATACCTACGGTTGGCGAACCAAAAAGCTAAGCTGACTGGAAGGTACTGTTCAGGATCCAGGGTAAGCAGCTAGTACAGTACTCCATAGGTCCTTCTCCGTTATCATACTTTCTTCCTGAGTGTGAATTGACTTTGAGCTACTCTGTATTAATTTCCATACTTCAGCCGCGTAATTTGCTGCCCGGTCGTGACTGCGGCCACAATACAAAGTAATTTTATTCATTGGCTTACTCTTTAAGGGCTGTTAGTCAACCATGCTGCACTTAACTAACTTAGCAGGACCCCCTAATCGTTCAAATTTACTTCCATACGAGACTTATCAAAGCCCTATAACGATCATATCCAACTATGCAGGAGAACTTAGTTTAGGCAAAAGAAAATTGATGAGAAGTGAATGCTACATGGGTACGACAGATATCGCTCGGAAACAAGGAGGGAAAAAGAGAAAAAGAAGAAAAAGAAGAAAAGGAAGTAAAAAGAAAAAAGGAAAAAAGGGACGTATGGCCCGAGCCGCGATTCGAACGCGGGTCTCATCGAGACAAGGTTTGGAATGCCCGAACGATGAATCTTACCCCTGGACTACCCGGGCGACAGTGTGGCAATATTTGCTGAATGATATTCCTTACTGCTAGGAAATTTTAAGTATCCGAAAACACATCAGACCCTGATGATCTAGGGCTACTTAGAATAGGTGTTTTAAGATAACACTTACTGGAGATAAAATGATAACGGTACCGTCTGGTGTAGGTGGCCCAACTACTCAATAAGCCTTCCGAGGAAGAGGAAAGAGGGATAAAAGGCTTCCACTGCGCTCCGCAATCGAGCTTTTATGGGTGTTTGGGGTGGATGCTATACATCATGAGTGGTATTCCCCCATCAATCGAAGAATGAGAACCATCTTTTACCTTGATGGTGCTCACAATTTTAGAGTGCCTATATCATATCTGCGCTTATCTATAGCATGTATACGTTTCTTGCATGATGCTCCAATCTTTATACTGGCTTTAGACTTGCTAGTCAAATAAATTCCACCTGTAGTTTGCAGTCCTCAACAGTATTACTCGACCGTATGCTCAAGGATCTTACGGGATTATCAGATCAAAATAATGCCAACCAAATAATATCCCAATGTTGGTATAGCGAGAGTTGTCAGGACCACCCCGATAAATCAAGAGACTCGGGTCATTACCTTATTGTCTTTCGGTCAATCATCATTAGGTAGAGACTGTAATATGTTTCAGGCGCGCGATTATCAGTAACGAAAAGCCGCTTCCGTTTTGATCGACATTACGAGCTGCATGTCATGTCTCTATGCGCACCATTTCCCGTTCCGTTTCTAGCTAGACGAAGCTAAGGGGCCAGTCCATCAGCGGAAAAACGTCGTCTCGGCCGCCTAAAGGATCCATCATAGCAGGTGGAGATTACAGAATACTGTAGTAATAGATAGTGTCTATGCTGATACAGAGCTACATACTGGGTGGACCTGAAGATTTGTTACCATGAATGACACCCCTTTTTATAGTTATGGACGATCGTCTGTAGTGGGAGCACGCAAGAGAATAGCATTTCTCTTCTAGTGAATGGTATCAGAGTACATATTACAAGAATGACTGGTTATCAATTAGGTGTCTCGATGTAAAAGTAATCCATAGCATGGAGTGGGAGATAGGCACTACAGAGTGCAGAGAACGAAGCAGGTATATGGACGTAATGATGTCGGTATTAATATGTATCTTGTTTCCACAGAGTACAGTAAGTACGGGCTAGGCGGCCGGAGCCTACCCGTAGTACAGCTTGGGCTTGTTGCATATCGATCCTCGGCCATTCCCGGGTGAGGGTGGGCTCTGTGGGGAGGCCAAGGCAGCTCCAGTCTGAATCCGTGCAGCCGAAAATGAAATATGTATTTGTTCGTGCTCGGAGGAATGAAATTGCCCCAGGCTAGCGTGCTGGAGATAATGGCATGCAGGCAAGCTGAAGTAGTAATGATCTGTGCCGCTATGCAACTTCGACCCTCTCAAGTTAAGGAGGTAACTCGGCTGCATGACTGGTAGTAGTATTAATAATTACTGTTGAAGATTAATTGCCATTTCGTTGCTCGGAGTTGCCTCTTAAATGGTTCGAGAAAGTCATGGCAAATGTGTAGCAACAGAAGAAAGATTCGAGGGTTGTCTCGTTATGGGATACTCGAAGGACTCCTATAGGTCTGAAATCGCGCACGTTCCATGAAGGATGTTAAGGTCTTCAAAGACAACATCACCATGTGCCCCATTGGCTAGGGTGATTATTGTATTATTGTGAAGGCTCATATTATCATCAGCTCCACCAGATTCAAGTTTACAGCCATGACTTTGCCCACATAAACGTGGAACTTATCTTGCTCAGATTGTTGATCCTCCTACTACTTGAGGGTAGAATTTCAGATGCTCGTGCCATCAATCTGTATTATCTGGCATGACTCTGGTCTCACAAAATAACAGAGAAAAAGACTTTGGTCATTACCTTAGCAAGTATCCTATTAGAGCCACTTGCAGAAAGTTATATTACTATCTGCAGCCACACTGCTCTAAGGCTGATGGTCAGCTTATGGCATTAGTAACTTAGCAAGGACTTGCGTGTCGCGAGGAATAATTACCTACTTGGTGGATAACTTTTTACTAGTACTCCGTAACGCAATTTGATCGCCTAGGCGAGCTCGGGCCTCATGTTCGTAGTCGCTAGTAACGATGTATCAGCCTTTCAGAGATTTGCAAACCGTTTGATTTGCTGGCAATTGGTCAAACCGCCCGAGGCTAAGATATCTCCGCTTGGTACAGAGTAGATGGCCAGCTTAAGTAGAACCTTGTTGCAGTTCCAACCCCAGGAGATCAATGGGAGAATCAATTGCCTGTGAGTTTTCCTTTCAACCTGGCAGGTATTATGTGCCCTCCTGAAGTTGGGCCATACTATCCTCTTGCTTCCGAGACCATTATGTCAGAGACCAGTGGTTGTTTACTCTACTCAGTTTATGCTTTTCATTGAGATTATTCAAAATATACAGAGTACAGATGACCATGAATGCTTGAAAATTATTTAGTGCTGAATGGTCCAAGTGGATTACCTTAGTCTTCCCCATATACACCAAACATGGGAAATCTTCGTGCTATTTTTCAAATCAAGATTATTTTTGCTTAATCTTCAAGGGTAAATACACAATAGCGTTACAAATGCCCGTCGGCGTCCATTCTAAGAATGGGGCCAAGCTAATGCTAAAGAAAGCGTACTTGTAGATCCGGATACAAAGTAACCCTATACTCTGTAGATATTGAAGGAGCTATGGTGCATTTGTCACGTGGTATCTGAATCATAAATAGGCCAGCAAATGATACGAGTAAGAGGCTCATCCTTGGAGGGCCTGTCTTGCAAACAAACCCCGAACTCCAACTTCATTCCTAGGGAGAGCCTTTGGGGCCTGAAATATCTCATCAACCACCCTCTTCTGACTGTCAAGAATTCGGCCTCTGGGGAATACTAGTCTCGTCGAAAATAGTCGCCTCCGTATTACTTCCAGCCTATGAGGCACTTTGGTCTACTCCACCGGAGCTATCTGACCTACATACTGAGTACTATGGTTGCTATCCAGGTTTCATGGCCCACATGCTTTATACTAACCGAACGGCTAGAAAACGAGAGCGCACACGGTCAAGCAATTCAGCGGCAGGTGGTGGCTGAAGACGACGGGTCTGGAGATCGCCGCTAGGATCACTGTTACTCCTCTCTCCTGAACGTTTGCTTTCTGGGAATGCCTTGGCTCCATTCTGCACAAACTTCATGGTGATGATATATGACTTGTGGCCAACAGGGGCGTCCAACATTGAAGTTCGAATTCTGTGCTGATATTCCTCAGTCAGCTGAGACACTCTTAACATAATAGGTGTCTCTCCAGAGCTATAAGTAGTTGCTATGTATTCAGGTATATATCTTCCCCTTAATTTAATCTTACTCTTTTCACAATATCACGCACCATCAACAAAGCGCTATAACTTGAAATCTAGAGTTCGTAATAGTGGTGAAGTCCATCAGAACCTCCCCCAGCCTGTGCCACATTCGATCCTTGTGTTTAGCAGCCACCGATAAACATTGAACTCTTGATATGCAGAGTATACACCTTTACCTCACGAGACTCTTTTCCCCGGATACTGGTCCGACATGTGCGGGAATGCCTAGGCTTATCTAGTGCAAGGAATATTCGTGCTTCAAATCTAGCCCTACTCCTGGCATGCAGGTTGTCTGAATTCAATTCTTTGAGTTCACCGAATCGCAAATATTCCACCCTTGCGCCTCTCCTATGTGATGTCATTTCAACTTTATGGCCCTATCACGTTGAGCTTTGGAAGGATAAACTTTGAATATGTACACCATACAGGATATAATAGAATCAGGTCTGGCAAATCTTAGTCGAAACCAGTCCACAGTTCACACACCATAGCTGATGTCCATGTGCCATAACTCGCCAGAGAATGCTCTCTGGGCAGCCAAACTTAACCATTCCAGCCATCTGGAACAGCTGATAATAGAAGAATAAATGATGATGTGGTTGGACTGCAGACAAGGTATTTTGAGAAGACAAGATACCCTAATCACGGGGCGCAGACATAATGTTACATTTCTTTCTTTTCTTTCTTTCCTTTCTCTTTTTCCCTTTTCTCTTCTGTAAAATAAAAAAAGCAAAGAACAAAAAATCTCCTGGGCTCCTTAATCTCTTTCACTTCATACCTTCCCCTGTCACTTTTGCTCTGGTGCTTATGGTACAACCAAAAAGGATACCTAAAAATTATACCTGTTTGATTTATGTGCAGTAAGTAGCACCATTCTTGGACTAGCGGATTGTGCATCTGAATTAACTCATAGTTCTCTGGATAATCATATGAATTTTTACAGTAGTAAGCCGTTTCATATACAGAGTACTATGACTCCTTACCTTAGATTTACCCAGTAACTGCAGTAGTAAGTGGCTTATATTTAACCATCGTTTATGAATATCAATCAAGTCAGATATGTTTGGGCTTCTGATTAGATAGTAAAATGATCAGTGAACACAGTTCTTCTAAGATACAATAGACCTCAGAATGAGTAATGAGGACGATGAGAATCAGAATCATAAAATGGAGAGTAATAAAATGTGTTATGATTATAAGACCTAAGAGTCCTAAGAGGAAGGCATGGACCACCCGACAACCAATAGCTATTAAGGCCCCCTCCACACTCTGCTTCCTACATAGTACCTAGCACTAGCGAGTTAGTTCGCCGGTCGGTCAATCGGCATCACTTGCTCGTCACTTTGTAGGCTATTCAATTGAGGAATCAGTATGCATAGATAATATGCGAGCCGGTTGCAGATCAATATCGTCAACTTCCTGCGCACTTTTTATTATGTATTCGCAGTTGCACAAGAGAAACCACAGAAACGGGCGAAAGACCTAAGGTAGCTAAGATAGGTATAACAGACTCGGAGTAGGATCGCTGAAGCCCGTGCTGACAGCTGACAGTATGGTACTCTGTACTTATCTCGGAAATGTCCTGGACAGTGCACCAATTTCTTTGCTAAAATATCATAGCCCGCGTCCCTAAGCTCGCTTCTCCAAGCCTCCAAAAGGTAGTTTTGAACACCACTATCTCTCCAATACAGGCACTACCAGGCTAATTAGCAGATACCTAAGGTAGTATCTACCTGACTACCTGATTGTACATTAAGGTAACTATTGTAACTGGCCAGTGTGGTCTTATTAGTATTTTTGTTCCATTTGATTATTATTTTTCATTTCTCCTTTTGATGATGATACCCACCATCCACTCCTAAAAAGACGTGCTCCATGTCACTGCATACACTACTACATAGCTGCATGGACCGCTGCCAATCCTTTCTCCACCCTTATTATGCTCCATCAGTCCATCAGTCCATCTAGATCCAGGGTCTCTGACGCACGAGGCAAAAATACAACCTGCATGACACTCAAAAAGACAAAGGACCTAGAGCCCACAAGTAATACATGCCTCCCATTCGCTGACATTAATCGTTATTTTCTATTTCTGTTGTGGATTCTGTTCTAAAGATTGTAGTCGTAGTAACTGACTTTATAAGCTATTAAGATACTGGACTTCGAACAAACATGTGTTTTCCCTGTCACGGACTTCTGCATAAATGATAATTGCCAATGTTGCATGTCTGTCACTTATTTTACTGTTCCCAGAAACCAATTAAGCCAGAAGATTTCTCCTTCCAGTCTCTGGCAGAGCATCTTTCTCACATAGACATTCGTTCTAACTCGCCTCTCGCTTTCTCTCCTTCTGTCTCTCACAGTTGACCCTTTATCTCACTCCTGCATAGGTAGGAACGCGAGTCACACTCTTTTCCTTCCTGGTCATTTCGCCTCAGTTCGACCTCGTATTTTGTCGATGACAATTGTCTTGCTGAAGTGGTGGCAAACAGGTCGTTACTTGATATATTACCTGACTCGACAGTTCTGTGAGCTTTATCTACCGCTCGCAGCCACATATCGGGAGAGGAGAAGGGCTGTTTGAAAGGTAGACATAGTAAGGGAATATTTGGGGCAAGCTCAATTGATAGCAAGGAAACCTCGTTGGCTGGTCGTCAATCATGGCTTTCCCATTCATGCGAGCATTTATTGCTCTTTTGTAAGTAAACATGTCAATCGTGCCCCTCAGCCTTGGAAAGTCTATCCAAGTGAGAATCTAGATTTATTGACCACTGCTCTTCTTACAGCATTTACCGTTACTTTCGTCTGGTTGTGAATCTTGTCTCATTTTGGACCTTCAAACCAATTCCTCCACCGGACAATCCGAAGCTGACAGCGCAAGATGTGACTGTTATCCTTCCAACATTGGAGGGATGTGGTGACGAACTAGTCGAGACGATCAGAACGATCCTCGACAATCATCCATATGAACTTCTACTGGTTACTATTGAAGCGAATAGGAAGAAGGCCGAAAATATGCTGAGTCAAATGCCTGCTTCCAAATCAAGAATTCGTCTTTTCACCGTGACCCACCCCAACAAACGTCGCCAAATGACAAGAGCTATTCCGGAGGTTCGCACAGCTATCACTGTATTTGCTGATGACGATGTCAGCTGGCCACGTACAGTGCTTCCTTGGATACTCGCCCCTTTCGAGAAAGACGAGAGATACGGCGGAGTTGTCACTTGTCAGCGACTGCGTCGTGCTGTTTCGCCCACTTTCTCGCAACGTATCTGGGGCTTTTTGGGAGCTCTGTACTTGGAACGCCGAAACTTTGATTGCGCAGCCACCACGCATGTGGATGGTGGATTACCCTGCATGTCAGGTCGGACTGTTGCATACAAGACTCACATTCTTCAAGACGAAGGCTTCACATATGCCTTCACGAATGAGGAGTGGTGGTTTGGTAAATACCAATTAAATGCAGATGATGACAATTTCATCACGCGCTGGATGGTATCACACGGCTGGGAGACATTCATGCAGTACCATTCCGAAGCTGAAGTTTTGACAACCTTGGAAGACAATCCAAAATTTTTGAAGCAGTGTGCGCGATGGTCAAGAAGCAACTGGAGAAGCAACCTCACCAGTATGTTCCATGAAAAACATATTTGGTAGTAAGTATTGCCTGATTTTCTTACTCCTCCGTTTCCCACTTCCTATCGTCCCTTCCCTTCTCCCATTTCCACCCTCCTTTGCTGCTACGTCTTTGGCCTGCAATCAGGTTTCAACGCGTGTTTATCCGTCAGAAATCAAGATCCGCACGAGAAAGGCCTGCTGCACTGGCTCAGGAATCTCAAACGGACCGGAGTTCTACTGGCAAGTCAATGCATCGGTATTGATTCCTGGGTGGTATGGATGACACTTCCGTATTTGGCAAAGTACATAACCTACACAAAAAGCACCAAGCGCCTCGTTTGAAGCCGCACGCTAACATTTGAGGGTCTGTGTCTCAAGTCGCCAACCTTGGAGCGCGTACGCTGTCCATCTGACAACGCTGTCCCCGCCAGCGCTTTTGGGTGACTTGCTGCTCCTTTTCCTGTGCCATAAAGCCACCATTTCATGGGAAGGAAACTCGCATGCTCTAGCTATGCAAGCCCTAGGAGTATGGATGTTTATTAGCAAATTCATCAAACTCTTAGGACATTACATTCGGTATCCGGTGGACATCTTGCTTCTGCCCGTCTCTATCCTTTTCGGTTATTTCCACGGAGGAATCAAGATGTACGCGGTGCTAACTCTGAATGTGGTAAGTTTCCCATTTTCCCAAAGTTTGTCGGCTTGCACCAAGCATGGAGCGGACTCGAGCCTGCTGTGTCCAGAAATTCAGATGCTACGCCATTTCTTCTCTTTTACCTTTGTTATTACTTAATTTTCTAGTTTTCATTTTCCTTTCCCCTTTTTTTTCTTTCCTTTTTTCTTTAATCATTCATCGACATAAGTGCATTGTTCATGGTACCTGTCCACAAGAAATAATACACTTGTCGATCTTTCTTCCACACCCCCCTCGCTTGGCTCAGGTTACAGGCGTTATTTGTTAGGCTTTTGTCTCCCCTCTCTGTATTTGAGTTTTGTTTCCTTTCCGAGAAAACGACCCCACAGCGCTTTGAACAATTTCCTCTACTGGTTTTTATGACGAATCTCGCTAACATGAAGCCTGTGCTTCCTCTCGCAGACCACGTGGGGCAGCAGAGATGGTGCCGATGATTATGATGCAGAACGCATGAAGAGACGCACGGATATTGACCGTATGAAGCGGCCGTACTACCCCAACTTCATAACTCAATGATTGGGGTTTTTGCGCATCCTCTCCGTGCTCCTTTCCTTCGTCAGTAGGAAGTCTCTCCTAACTGACTTATCCGCTCCTGTTGCTTCAACATGGCTCGAGGTCACAACCATAGGGCACTCAGCATTTACTGCACCTCGACGCTATCATAGCATAAGTAGTGCTTATTGGATGGGTTAGAAAATCTCCCGCTACGATAGGACTTTGCTGCTTCTTATGCGATAGCAACACGCTCCCTTCGAATCAGCGCTTGTCGACCGAGCATCTGCACCAGCCAAAGCGGCACTGATAATATTTGAAATGCTCTCTGTTTGCCATCCTCTTCTCCTCTCGTCCTTCGTCCTTTCGTCTTCTCGTGATGCTCAAGATCATTCTTACGATGGACTGTCCCAATGACGCCGGGATTTCCATGATCAGTCTTCAGCTCCCCTTCTGTATCCATGCAGAAGTTCCAAACTCGTTACACCGACGCACTCTGGCACCAGCATGGCGATGCTGGTTTCAATCTGCACTCTGGGGACCTTTTACACTTCCCTCGTCCCTTCCTATCTCTCTTCTGACCCACCGCTTGAGTAAGCCAATGCTGGGCGCAGCTTCTTTTCCTATCCCCTCAAAAGATATTCCTCTGTTCTCTGAGTACAGATTCACCTTTTCGCAGTCGGCTCCACAGAACGATTTTCACAGTGAATGTTCCTCTTGAACGCATACCCTTGTTTGACTCGTTTTTGGCATTTAAAAGATATCTTTTTCCGTGTAATTTATAGCAAAAAGCATGGGAAGGCTTGTTCATTGCTTGGGTCGTTGTACTTCTGACTTGTCGCATGATCTATGTGCTATTTCTGCATCGGGTACATCAAAGCTGCAACCGGGAGACTTTCCGATATGTCTGATCTATGGTTGATTTGTCGTCTTGCCGCAGACTCTTCAAAACTAGCAACGGTCAAGTTGGTCATTCGTTCACAATAATATTTAATGATCCGGTGTGATTACGATTCCAATGAAAACCTGTAGTTCCAGCGACATCTAGAGACTCGAGCTAAGATTATGCCTTCGGCCCTTGAGTTGCGGAGAACCGGAGAATGTGGCGTGGTGCAGTCTACGGCGATCTGGATTGACCCACCATAATGGTATCTGACAAGCTTACGGAAAAAGCAAAGATACGTCAAAAACCATCTACTGGCACTTTTACAGCAGAGACCAAGCAGGTAATCCATCCTCGACATTAACCTTCCAGAAGTTGAAAATTTAACTACACCTGATTACTGGCAAAGACGTCTAGAACAAAGATATCTACGTGTTAATCGTCGTGCATATCTCTCCACTTTGGTGTTGGCGTAAGCATCCCTCAATCTGCCATGCCAATTCTCCCTCGAGCCACCTTTTCAGTTCTCTCCTGCCGGCTTATTTCGGCCGTGGGGCAGCGTGGAGCTACGACATCCTGTCGAAGTTTTCATGCCATCTCCCAGAAAGCTGCAGTTGCCCATCCTATCACTGCCCATGGACCGCCCCCGAAAGCCCCTTCGCCAGCTCCAGAATTCGGTCGTCCGACCGAAGAAGGAAAAGACGTAAATGATGCAGGCAAGCCACAATCGCAAGTGTCAAAACCATCATCGACTCTCGAGAAGCGATTTTGGAAAAATGTGGTTGTCAGGAAAAAGCCAGGTACCTCACCCTTTCTTTTCTGCGGATTGTTAACTTCCGCTCCGCCTTACATCAAGCTGACCTTTACGTCTGTTCCTTCGTGTGTAGATGGGGAGTACCAGGTTTTATTGGACACGCGACCGATTCGGACGCCGACGAAAGATACTTTATCCATTCCTTCGACGAAACCGCATCTTGCACATGCTATTGCTCTCGAGTGGGACGTCATGACGTCCGCACGGCAGGCTTTGAAGAATCATCTTATTCCGTTGACCTCGTTGACTGCGCGAGCGGGAGATATTGCACAAGAAGATGCAAGGGGCGAGACTACCACGAGGGACCAGATTGTGAAACTCGCCATGCGCTACCTGGATACCGATACTCTACTGTGCTGGGTACCCGAGAGAAATCCATACGCTGGCGAGGGGTCTGAAGAAAATGGAGAGCGGCCTGAAAGCCTTCGAGAAGCTCAAATGAGAGTAGCCAAGGATATTATCGCCTTTCTAGGCACAAAGGTGTGGCCTGGTGTCGACATTGTACCCATTCTTGACGCGGACAGCATTTTGCCGGTGTCTCAGCCCCGGGCTACAAAGGACATAATCAAACAATGGGTTTCGTCGCTGCGACCGCACGATCTAGCTGCTTTAGAAAGAGGAATTGTTGCTAGCAAGAGCCTGTTGGTTGCTGTTCGACTGGTCGTCGAGTGGAGTGAGAATTTCCGTCACTTGCAAAGGTCAGGACAAAAGAAGTTCGGCATCGAAGAGGCAGCAGAAGCATCAAGTCTTGAAGTGAGATGGCAGACTAATATGTGGGGAGAAGTGGAGGATACTCATGATGTTGACAAGGAGGATCTCAGACGACAGCTTGGAAGTGTTATTGTTGTGGTCAGCGGAGAGACCCGTGAATAAGGAAGTGTGCCGCAGCTGTGGACGGCTGTCATATTTGTCTTAAGCTGACATGCTTTGCATGTACTCGTATATAGATATTCGCAGCGGCACCTAATCATTGTACAATATGATCATACATGCTCGGGTATTCGACAACTTCTCTGCATTGTCCAAGCCTCTTCCATAATTTGTTTTTTCCTCTATTCCCAAACCCAGCAGGATACCTTAACCACTCCCTCTAATTTTGGAATCGGTCGTAAGGTGGAATGTCTTCCTATTCATGTGCATTATTGTTCTGTCTAAACCGCCAAGGCACGGGAACATTTCCCTTTCAGTTCAACCAAAGCACAAAGTACTCCTTATCGTTTCCCCTCTGCCCGTCAACCACATGCATATACATTTACATAATCATAAACCCATGAGCTCATAAAACTATTGAGCTCCGATTGATTCTTTATTATTCCCAACCGTCTATGCCACTGCTTCGAGTTTCTCTATCCATCTCGGAGCTTCTTTTAGTGCCGATAGAGAAATGACGGAAAGGGGCGAAGGGTAAGTTCCTCCTGACTGATACCCTCGGTTTTCCGTGAACCGTTCCCTGTAGATATGGTGTCACCTTGTTCTCGATGAGCTGGGTCCCTTTAGAGATGCCTGGCTTCAGAGCTGCTCAGGGAACGTACCTGTCTGGATTGCCTTCACATTTGCTTTCTCTCTTCTCCCATACTCAAATGATACCCCCGACGTGGCCACTGTACTGACTCAACACGCCATACTAGACACAAACGATCGAAGAGTGCGCTGGCCCTTGCAATTTTACATCGCGATAAATCAAAAGACATCAACGACGATCTGGCCGGTCGTGAAAGTGGTTCGCTTGAGTCTGGCGCGTCTTCTCCGGTTAACAGCAGCTCCTCTTTCTCGCTGCCGTCAAATAAGAATAGCATCCGCCGAAAGTCGCCCCAAGAGGCCAACTCACCTCCCATGGACTCAGAGGCGTCGCTTGAGCCAACCGGCTCCAATCACAGCGCAGAAAATGTCGAGAAAATGCCAACTCTAGCTCATTCAGCGATTGGAAGCATGACACTTGAACAATCCGTGCGCACCTTTCGACTATTCGAGATTCTGCGGAGCGGGGACACAAATGCGATATCGAAAGCGATTAAGGAGACCAGGGAACCTCAAGGGGCAGGCCCTTTGACTGGCACAACCATTTTGCATTTAGCAATTCAATGTGCCGAGCCACAGGTTGTCGAATTCGTCTTGTCTCTGGGAGATGACCTGGATATCAACGCCCGCGATCGGGATGGGAATACCCCTCTTCATCTTGCGGCCCAGCTAGGAAGAGGACCTCTAGTGCGCGAGTTGCTGAATCGTCCATCAGTGAATGATTCGATTGTCAATTACCGTGGCCAGACTGCCCTTGATGTTGCGCGTAATCCCGAAATATTTCAGCAGCTCCAGCTTGCAAGATCTTTATTTATTGACAGCAAGTCACAAGAAATTCAGTCCCTTGTGTATCAAGGCGATTACGATAACCTTGAGAGGGTATTGGAGGAGCCGCGCGTGGAGGGAATCCTAGATGTGAACAGCCTGGACTTGGTCACCGACCCGACTACCGCACAGTCTGGAGGTACCTTGCTGCATGAGGGCGCTAGAAAGAAAGATACGAGACTCATCCAGCTTCTACTGATGCACGGAGCTGATCCTTTCCGGCGCGATAAGAAAGGTAGGCTGCCTCAAGATGTTACGAAAGACGATAAGACGCGTGCCATTGTCAAAAAATCTCCTGCAGCAGTTATCGCACAGCGTGGCATTCAAGAGAAAGCCATCCTCGGCAGCAGTCCCGCTCAAGGTGTCTCTGGACGGTCAGGGGCAGGTGAGGCGCCGCTCGTAGGCAAAGATGCGCGTGAAATGAGAGGCTATTTAAAGAAATGGACGAATTATACCAGTGGATATAAGCTGCGATGGTTCGTGCTTGAAGACGGCGTCCTGAGTTACTACAAACATCAAGGTAAACCTATCTTTGGTGCCCCTCATCTCTGAAGACCACGGGAAATTGACATTTCATTCAGACGACGCGGGCTCCGCTTGTCGCGGCGCGATAAATATGAAGATCGCTAGGCTCAGCATGGACGCGCAGGACAAGACGCGATTTGAAATACATGGGAAGTCGTCTGTCAAATATCATCTCAAAGCGAACCATGTCGTGGAGGCTAAACGCTGGTTCTGGACTCTGAACAACGCCATACAATGGGCGAAAGACGAAGCAAAGGAGGAACAGAAACGCCAGACAAGACATGCTGAGGCACTACGCCAGGCAAAGATGGACCAGATCGAAGGCCGGAGTCCAACAGAGACTGCATCCGAATCCCCGAGCCTGGCCGCCAGCAAGTCAAATGGGAAAGGTCTAGCACCTCCTTCTCTAAGCGTACCAAGTGGTAGCACTCACAGACTCACCACGTATGCGTCTCGTACAACCCTTGACAGCGTACCTGCAGATGAGGAAGCCTCAATACACGGTTCTTACGACCAGGGTGTTTTGCAGAACGAAGTCAATCGGGTGGTCAGTCATGTAACTAGCCATCCGGATGGCGAAGGCGACGAGGACGACTATGGCGAATACGCGTCTAGTCGTGATATCAGCTCTTCCGATAAAGATGCGCTGAACATCACGGCGCAATCTGCAAAACTTCAACTCGAGATTCTGGCCAATGTCGCCGCTGCGTTGCAAGCCGAGAAATCGAAGGATTCGAACGTGCCAATCTCGGACCCCACCGTTGGCCAAGCCCTTGTAGCTTATGAGGCGGCTGTAAGCAGCCTGCAAGGTCTGGTCCAAAACCTTCTCAAAATATCGCGGGATCGCGATTCTTATTGGCAATACCGACTTAACCGAGAGGCTTATCTTCGCAAAATGTGGGAGGAAAGCATGGCGCGCATTGCACAGGAGCACGAAGAGCTGCAATCGAAGATGGGGGAATCCGAAGAGAAGCGCAGACGTACTAAGCGAGCTCTCAAAGAAGCTCTGGAAGGCGTGTCCGCATATACCAGTCGTCGTGGCAGCAAGGCTCCGTCCCGCATACAAGTCTCTGGGGAAGACAGCCGTGCTGGCGGAGATGAAGCAGAAGAACAAATTCCGCAGCCCGTGGAATACATGGCGGAAAACGAGGAGAACGAGTCTGGAAAGTCTCTACGTCGCAAGAGGTCGGCGCTCTCTCGCATCAGCAGCCTGTACGATTCTGGGTCCGACGACGATGATGAATTTTTTGATGCTATCGACGCTGGCGAGATAGAAGTGGAAGACATGACTACCTCGAAAGTGATGGAGGAAGAGGAGGAAAAGCCAGAATTAGAAAGCACTGAACTTCGAGCTGTGAAACGGAACGAGATAGTCCCCTCTTTCAAGGGCTACGAAGAGCCTGTACGGACAAGACTCAAGCTGGACAACGACAATAGACCGAAAATTTCTTTGTGGGTAAGTGATTGCGAGTACCTGCTCAAGTTAGGATTAAAACAATCTAAGGTGATGCTTTAGGGAATCCTGAAATCCATGATTGGCAAGGACATGACAAAGATGACTTTACCAGTATCTTTCAATGAGCCGACATCATTGCTTCAACGAGTGGCGGAGGACTTAGAATATGCTGACCTTCTGGATATCGCGGCTGACCGATCCGATTCGATGGAGCGTTTGGTATATGTAGCTGCTTACGCAGCGAGCGAATATGCTTCAACAATTGGCCGTGTGGCAAAGCCTTTCAATCCTCTTCTCGGAGAGACCTTCGAATATGCTAGGCCCGACAAGGGATATCGGTTCTTCATTGAGCAGGTTAGCCATCACCCACCGATTGGCGCAGCGTGGGCCGAGTCACCGAAGTGGGATTATTGGGTAAGATTCGAATAGCTCTCCCTTTTGTGCCACCGTTTCCTTTCTAAACTTCTTTCCACAGGGAGAATCCGCTCTCAAGTCGAAGTTCTACGGCAAATCATTCGATATCAACCTACTCGGAACCTGGTTTCTGAAACTACGTCCCGTATCAGGCGGAGAGGAGCTTTACACATGGAAGAAAGTTACCTCGTCTGTCATTGGCATTATCACAGGCAATCCCACTGTTGACAATTACGGTCTGATGGAAATCAAAAACTGGACTACCGGCGAGGTTTGCTACCTGGATTTTAAACCGAGAGGCTGGAAGGCGTCTTCTGCGTACCAAGTGACTGGCAAAGTCGTTGATCGCGACGGAACACCGAGATGGAGTATTGGTGGGCGCTGGAATGATAAAATCTACGCACGCCATACCCCTGGGTTCGAAGCGCAAGTGTCCGGTCAGGATCCCGAATCGGCTAAGACATTTCTGGTTTGGCAGAGCCATCCTCGGCCAAGTGGAATTCCTTTTAATCTGACACCCTTTGTTATCACACTGAATGCTCTTCCAGAAGGCTTGAGAGAACATCTCCCGCCTACTGACACGCGACTCCGCCCTGACCAGCGTGCAATGGAAGACGGCGAGTATGACTTGGCTGCCAATGAAAAACATCGGGTTGAAGAAAAGCAACGGGCGAAGCGTCGGGAGAGGGAGGCTAGAGGCGAGGAGTACCGCCCTCAGTGGTTCACCAGGGCTAAATGTCCGATCACTGGAGAGGAATATTGGGCGCACAATGGAAAGTATTGGGAATGTAGAGAAAGACATGACTGGAGTGCGAGCGAAGATATTTTCTGACGCTCACTCATGGCTTGGGGGAGGTGGATATCTTGGAGATCGCCCATCCTCTTGTAGATAGTGATAAGTTCATTATGTTCAATCAAGAAGTCAATAGTCCTGAAGTCACTATTGCACTTATTGGCTCTCTTACTGGTGCATTAGCATCTGGATAACAGATTTTTCAACATACAAAATTTTCAACATATTAGCTGAGGGAGTGTGTTGCAATGGCACCGAACTAAACATGCCTGCGAAGACATCTTAACGGTTTGTCTGGATCACGTGGTACGACGGCATTCTCGGCGGCCAGAAATTACAGCTTCTATGCATGTGTACTCAACAGCCGTCCATTCAACCCCGCGACAGTCGACATGCCTGGCGAATATACTTGCGGACGCTGTCTGCAGGTCCTCCAGCGAAGGATTTCTATTCAAAGTTCTACGTTTCGATTGCAAACTGTGGTCAATTCGCCGGGTCCACGCAACTCTCCCTCTTCTTTCTCCCGAAGGTTTAGTTCGCAGAGCAACCATCGCTTTCCACCCCAATCCTCCCAGGGGCAATTGAAACGGACATCGTGCCCATCCTTGTCGCCTTCGTCTGCTGCGTCTCCAACTGCAAAGCAGCTAACGCACCGAGCCTCGTCCACCTCGTCGAGCCAAGCGCAGGAGTCAAGAACTTTGCTGAAACCAAACAACCTCTTTCACCCTTTCTCGAAATCCCCTGCACCCGCGATTAGACAGCGTGCGGCGTTCATCAAACAGAATGCTTTTTGTCCGCATCCCAGTCATCAACAAACCCGTGCAGCGCTCTCGCCTCACGATCCTGAATCTCGGAAGAGCCCCGAAAGCGCACTGCCTCCGGCCCACTCTCACTTTGAGTGCCCCGATTGTGGCGTTCCCATCTACTGTTCTGAGGGACACTGGATGGATGATTTCGAGGCGCACCTGGAGATCTGTGACACCATCAGACAAATCAACGAGGATGACCACGACCTTCATTCGGGGCGTTTTTTCCCCGAGTTCACCTACCCAGGGCTGCAGGACGACAACTTTGTCATTAACATGACCAATTGGGACACTTTCCTTTATACACGGGAATTTGATGCGATCAATCATGACCGAAGCATGCGACAAGTGACCAGAATGCTTACATACCCGCTGACGATCGGAAGTGTTCTGCATGAGCTGAGTCCTTACAGCGTTCGAAAGGGAGGCCGACTGACTACCGAAGGGCTCAAGAGCGTTAGCGGTAAGCTGCACCTCTCCGTGCTCAGCTAGTTGCTGCAAATTATACAAATAGTTGACCGTTCTTCTTTCCAGCTCTTCGATACACCTTGCACCCTCCAAAGACAGGAGAGGGTGTCGATATCCAAGGTCTGCGCCTGAAGGCACCCCCAGTTCGAGTATTCATCCTCGGTGCGCGGGCGGAATCATCCCTTCCCCGTGATGTCTGGCTGCAATTGAGCTACATTTTCCCGCGGTCCTTGATACACTTGATTTTCATTGGACCTGAGAGTATGGCCAACCGTGACGACGAGTTCCCACTTCCCGAGCGGACCCCTGAGAATCCGTTTGGGGGCATTGTGGAGGATCGACTCGGTGGCCAGTTGAAGATCACAACGTACGTTGACTACTTCCACACCATGTACAAAGCGCAGTATTTCCAGCCGTTTGATCCCTATCTGGACTGCTTTGTGCTTTTCCATCCGGGCCTCGGGCACCCTGCGAGCTCTCATGAGTGGGAAGAAACTCTGCCACAGCTTTTGGAGACCAAGGTCCCCATCATTACCACTGGGTACACACAGTGGGACATGGAGAGGGATATCAACTGGGTTCGCGAGAAATGCGCTGGTGAGTTTGACATACTCCTTGAGCCCGGCGAGAATATCTTCCGTAGTCTGCGTTGGGATTTGAACGACCTGGACCCTCACGATGTTTCTTGCGGAAATTGGGGCCTGTGGGCATTCAGAGGAAAGAGGTATGTAATGGCTGTTCCAATTCTCTGAAACACTGGCTAACTTCAGTCCGGCTTGAACAGGTACGAAGCTACCTACAGGGACTCATAAGATGCTGCGAGCGTCTGCAGCGCTGATGTATATTCTTGTACATTGTAACATAATAATATGCATTCCTCTCCTTCCTATGGTCGACCTCCATTGTTCTTTCTGCATACTACAGCAAGCGTAAGTACGAGAGAAATCCCCATACTTGGCTTTTATAGCATAGCATTGGGTGTACGCCCATGTAAGCACTTTAGCCCGCTATGTCATGGTAAGCACCGTATAGGGTACTTTAGTACTTCAAGAGACGATAGGAACAAGTGCCGTGGTAGAACCATCGGTACCATCCATCATCACGAAGAAATTTAGAGGCAAAGAGGCAAGAGCCAGAGCTTCTTGAAAGACAAATTAAGGAAGGTTATAGACAGACATAAATTAGAGGACGTGAAGTTAAAGTGATGAATGACAGACCAGCGCGCCCAGATCATAACGCTTAAACAATGTGTGCGTGGCGGACGGAGTCGAGTTCAATAGATACAGGTTAGAAGAAGAGTGCAAATGTATATATGACAAGATGGGCGATAAGGATCGTCCAGCGAAGTAAGATATATAGGAAAATATATGTCTGAATTCCTCATTCCCCGAACATTGATGCGCGATCATGGACGGCCGCACCCAACCCCGAAGATGAAGGAGATCGCTTCAATTGTGGTTATTCAAGCGCTGGATGTCTGGTAGACTTCAATTCACCCTCTAAAACATGGCAAATCCCGCAAGAGCCATGGCAACAGCAGTCAGAGGGCCGGAGAAGTTGATCGAGGAAGCGGCGCCGCCCTGGGATGGTGCCGACGAGGCCGCGGAGGCAGCAGCGTTTGTCTGCGAGGGGCCACTGACGGTGGCTGGAACTGTCACCTTGATGATCGAAGAGCTGGTTGAGTTCCAGCGGCCGGAGCTGGGGACATAGATGCCACCGGTGGGTCGAATGGAGGGGCTGCTGCTGCTTGGAGTCACGCTGACGACGCTGCTGCTGCTGCTGGGGGACGGTGTAGGAGTCGAAGAAGCGCCAACGCTCATCAGCTTGACGGTGATGGTCGTGGTCGGTTCAGCTTGCGCTGCAGCGGATGCGAAGGGCGCGACAGCCGCGGCGGTAAACAGGAGAGCTTTGGTGAAATGCATCTTGATCGTAGAATTGATAGAAAAGAATGAAGTTTGAGATGCGCAGGCTGCCAAAAGCGATAGTGGAAGAGCAAATAGCTTTGGGAGTAAGCTGGTCGACGTTGGGCGTTGGTATATCGATTTTGGATACGCAAGAAAGCTTAGGAGATAATTTTGCAATATTCGGCCTTTTTGCCTTCGCTTGTAGGAAGTAAAGAATGAATGGAGCTGGAAACGAGTGACAGCCCTGGTGTGTATAGAATGTGAAGAACGAGCGACAACGCCTTGAGGCAATCAAAGTCTGTAGCAGTGAGCGGTAACTCAAGCGAAGAAGAGAAGACAGCGATGATAATAAGGCGTAAAGAAAAGGGGGGTAGTGACCAGTACCTGGCACTAAATTGTTAGCTAGACTATACGAAGTACGGAGTAAACATTAGACTACTAGAAGAAAGGTCTCCCGGAGACCTGGAGTCCTTGAACCGACCAAACGATACCAGAAATCGATATATGACCCGAACAAACAGCGAATCAGCCATGAAACCGGCTGCCGTAGGGGTACGCTTGGCTCAAAGTCGCTTGAGTCTAGCGCGGATGTTGTCAAGCCGTCCATGGTTGGGGATGTTCGGGTTCGTCACGATAATTTCGAACTGTCGATCCCTTCAAAGCTCCCGCTTTGCGGTGCGGGCGACAAAGTACTAAGCGATTATTCTCTAACTGCCGATGATCGTCGGTGCCTCTACTTTGTAGGCATTGAGAGAGATGCTAGGTACGCCTCTATCCCTTCAGGTCTTGAGCCAAACTCTGTCCTGCGGTTCGTAGCCATTTGCAGTGCTAGCCGTGAGATAATCCAGGTTCCCATGGGAATCGGGTCGATCATGTTATCTCGAGGGGAGGCTAATGCGATAGCGCAAGTAACCTTGCGCCGACCCAAAAGAGACGATGAAGACTGAAGAACGTGAATTGCGGCTGTTCGGGAGATATCAAGACGCCATTGACAATATTAGTGGGCTGAAATTGACTCGATTTAAGGTAATGGCCAATGACGATTCCTGCGTGAAAGAGTAGTCCAAGGGTTGTCATTTTACAGTCATTCACCAGTTTCATCGCGCAGCAGCGGGGAGAAGATGGAGTACCATAAGAGGTAGAAGCGAGTCAATGCCCCAGTCTACAGAATAAATCGGTTCTTCGTGGTGAATACCTAGTCGGTTTCAGGGGAATTGGAGAATCTACAGAGGAAGTTTGGAGGAAAAATACCAAGTGATAGATAAACTGCGAAGGGTTCATCTTTGACGAATTCGCAAAAAAGATTGAAAGTTTGGAGTATTTATCAGAGCTTAAAAGTCTGGAAAGACCGCAATCATCTAGGGGAACTACTGACCTTGGGATCATAATATAACACGTATTAAAAGTGGGCGACTCATGGCGATCTATCGTACAATAAGGTTCTCGGGAATAATCAATAGGAAGTGGTATCGTAATCATGTCCAGCGAAGTGGGTAAACAAGCATCAAGGATTTCACTTTCCAACGCCGAATAAGGGTATCAAGGTTCTCGTGCTATTCAAAGCAAAAGACCACCAGTCAATGCGAAATCGACAATATTCCCGCAGCAAAGTCCAGCAAAGGCCGAGACAGAAAGCTCATGGAACAGATTTGGCTGAAGCGAAATATAGCAAGAAGCAAAGGGGCAAATTCACAAACAGCAAAACGACAAGGGATATCATGATGGAGCATAGCGAGCAAGTGGCTCATCGTTCAAAAGGCACCAGGTTGTTTATGAACGATTCCATCGCGGGAACATCCATCATAGCGCCCAAACCATGCTAGCCACCAGAGCGACCACAACCCAGTGCCCGCTGGCCTCAAGGAGGGCTGTAGCGGGAGCTGAGGAGGTGGAGGAGGAGGAGCTCGTAGAGTCCGTTGCATTCGGCACAGTTCCGTTGATGTAGATGGTCTCGGTTCCGTTGGCGTTGACAACCTTGGCGATACTTGAGTTCACAGGTTGAGTGCCATTGAACAGCGATTGATAGTAGGTGCTGTTATTGTTATCGTCACAGCCGCAATCCGAGTATTCTTGACACAAGCAGACTACCGGCAATGTCTCGTTTTGGCGGGAAGTTTCATTTGTATAGTTGTAACGATGACTGTAGGGGTATGCGTAGGCCCCGTAGAGCCAGATACCAGGGAAGATGGCCAGTGCAGCGACTGGCAAAAGGAAAGGAGTGACTCCCAGAGGGGATCGCGTGCCGGCCCTGTATGCAGATGTGGCACCGCCAGCGTAGTAGGCTCCGCCAATGCGACTGCTACTAGAGGTGGAACCAGGGCGAGATGAGCCTCCTGTACGGCCCCCGGAACTTTGTGCAGAACAAATGTTAGCCTCGATGTCTATGGAGATAACAGGCAGCTTGACAACCGCTCACCTTGATGAACTACCGCTTCCGCTGCGTCCCCCACTGGATCCTCCGCTTCCGCCACCTCGTCCACCGCCTCCTCCTCCTCGACGTTTCTCGAGATCTGGGGCTCGAAATAAATCGACAGCGACTACATCACGAGCGACCAGATCCGACTGCGGAATACTGTATGAGGTGACACTGGTGGACGACAAAAGAAAAAGGAGAACCGCTGTGTAGGCGATTTTCATCTTGTAATCTTGTTTCTTTTCTTTTCTCTTCTTCTTTTTTTTAAAAAAAAGGGGAAGAGCTGTTTTAGACGCGCAAATAGACTTGCTGTAGTCTCAATATGGAGGGTAAGAGTGCGTAACACAATATTGACGGAGGTGGAATTGGATGTTGTCTGAGATAAAAAGTGACAAGAAAAGAAATATTGCCAGAAATGAGGCAGTTCTTCAAGACAAGAGAGTTATGACGCGAAACCCATTGATGTAACCTTCGACAGCGGACGGGCTTAATTGTTAAGGATTTCTTGGATTTCTTGGTAACCTTTCATCATCATCTCCCAACTTGCCAGCAAAGTGGCGATGCTCGCTTTGTCCTTTGATGATTCGATCCCGGGAAAGCCTAAGCCCCAACATCCATTAATTCTCTACTCCGTATTATTGACTAACACGGTTACAATCTGCGATGCCAAGCTTCGATTTCCAGAAGAGATCAAAAGAACCATCATCTCATCATTCATCCATCATCCATAGACTTACTCGGCTAAGAACCAGAGATCGGATCAATTGAAATTTATCTGATTATCCATGAAGTCACATTTGGCCTCTTCCAACTCCACGTGCGGTACGATAGAGAATCATTGCCCTATAGGATTCCTTGCCTACGAGGAGGCGCAGCAATCAGCCCTCCATGAGCCTCAGCCTCCATAGATATTAAGCCATGTTGCTCACCCAAAACCTGCGATTGAGAGAATCAATGGCTATTGGAGCGGATGAATCTACCCATTTGAAGTGGAATCCGGAGCACAAACTTGTCGGGCTTCCACAAGGCTTCTTCAGTCCGAACATAGCCTGTGTTTGACAGCTTTGATAGTGTTGATAAAGGATGATTGGGAACAGCAACGTTTGCAGGTCTTCTAGGCTTGTTCCACGTGATAGACTGTACATGCACATGAGACTTCGGAAATAGAGCAATCTATCTGGGGTTTGACTACTGTTGCTCGCCTCGACTGAAGTGAGCTGTGGGCTTCTTTACCCAAATGATCTAGATATTCTGCAGTAAGATTCAAGGCCCCGATCTTCGATTTTGCGCTGCAGATTTCACTCCTGCTTCGGCTTTGAGAGAGGACGGTAGACAGGGTCCCACATCTGTACCCGAATCCACTCCTCCAGGTCGTCATCGTTGGTGGGAATGCCTTCTTCCTGGGCATGCCCTTCTTCCACTGCCGTCTTGATCACCGCCTTGGCAATATCGACACTGATTTCTCTGACCTCCTCCACATCGGGTAGGAGAGGCTTGTTGGGATCTTGAAGCGCAGGTGATCGAGCTGCTAGCGCTTTGACCGCAGCGACCAGCATCTTGTCTGACAGGACGCGTGCCCGAGACAAGACGGCTCCAAGGCCAATTCCGGGGAAACAGGTTGAATTATTGCATTCCGCTGTAGGGTTTTTTTAATGAGTCATGTCATGTCCCGCAAACTTTTGACAATCTGTACTTACCAATCTCATACTTTGCCCCGTTGCGATCAACTGGTGGGAAGGGACTCCCAGTCGCTATCAACGCTCGACCATCCGTCCACTCGTTGAGATCCTTGGGCTGTGCCTCATGCAGCCGAGTAGGATTACTCAATGGAAATACAATTGGACTGTGGACATGCTTGGCCATTTCTCGGATTATCTCTTCTGTGAAAGCGTTTGGCTTTGTCGATGTCCCGATCAGCACATGGGGCTTGACTCTTTTCACTACAGATAGCAGATCTCTCTCCCCATCAGACCATTCATCATCGCTGCGCGCAAAAGGCTTTTGCGCCGGCGTCAATTGGTCACCTAAGGACTTGACTAGCAATCCTGGCTTGTCCAAACACCTGGAAAAGGTTCAGCAAGTTGCAAAGGGGCACAGCATCAATTTTCCGCAAGGCTTACCAGATTTGCTTTGCCGCTTCGTCCTTTGATTTATGGGTCTCCGTCACGATTGTATCAGCAATTTGCTGTGCAATACCAGTTCCGGCAGAACCAGAACCAAAGATGACGATGCGGACGTCCTGCAATTTGACATCACTGACGTGCAAAGCGGCCATTAATGCTGCCAGAGTGACACACCCGGTTCCTTGGATATCATCATTGAAGCAGGCCATGTGTGGTCGAAATTCATCGAGAAGTCTTTTGGCATTATGAAGGCCAAAGTCTTCACTGCGAAGGGACGTCAGTCGCTTGGCTTGCCTTTCAAATTGTGGAGACGTCTACTCACAAATGAATGTATGCTTTGGGGAAAAGCTTCCTAGCAGTGTCGACGAATTTATTCACAAATTGATCATACTCCTTTCCTCTAGCTCGGGGTTGTCGAAGGCCGAGGTAAAGCTCATCGCCAAGCAATTTTTGATTCTGCAACCAGTGTCAGCACGCAACGCTCCTGTTGATGTCTCGGAACCCTACATCTGTACCACAGTCCAGAACTACTGGAAGCTGCCGACTTGGATGGATTCCCGCGCAAATAGTCGTGATTACCAACTTGGCGACGGATATCAGGATAGCACCAACCCCTTGGTCACCAATTCCGAGAATCTGTAGTCGACCCTGTCAGACTCGTGCATGAAGTAGCGGTGAGAATGAAAAAGATCGTAGGTACCTCTTCGCCATCGCTGACGACGATGTAATCAACATCCTCACCGCGACCGAAATTGGACAGGCACTCTTCAATTGCGTCCTGGTCATTGATATTTAGGAAGCAGCCTTCTGGTCTCCTGAACAAACGTGAGTAGTTTTGAATGGCGTCACCCTCGGTTGGAGTGTAGATGACGCTGAACATCTCTTTCAAATGAGTTTGTAGCAACTAACAGAACATTAGTCGCCGAGGAGAATTTCGAGCCCAATGATCAACCGTGGACACAGGAAAGAATGTTCTCGAATCTCTGCTTTACCCTTTAATCATAAACAAAAGTACTTACTTTGAAATACAAGACTTCATTTTGCATCTTCATGCTGGCCATAAAAGTGTTCTTTGCTAGGTCATCCGCTCGGCTACTATACTGTTCATATGCACGGCGGACTTGTTCCTCAAGCGTCTGCGTATTCGGTGGCACTAAGCCGTGCAGCTTGAAATTCTTTCGCTCCTCTTCAGTGAAGGCAGAGCCCTTGTTGAAGGTGGGATTATGTATGACACTCATCCCCTGGACGGGCTACATCAGTATGCCGTCCATTGACCACCCCGCATAATGGAGAATTGTCTCTTCCTCACCTCATATGGACATTCCAGCGGCCCCGAAGCTGCTCGAGGCAAATGACTGAACTTGGAAGGCTTTGTGGACGTCGACATTGTGCGTGCAATTGATCGTATACGCGGACTATGCTTAGACAGAAGACGAGGGTTCAGACGGAGGCTGATCATAGCAAGAACGGATCGACGTAAGTAATTAGGTGTCGTCCAGATTCAAGTTAAACTTACAGCAGGAATACTAGCACACACTTCTTGTCGCTAAATCAAGCACTGTTTATAATGTTTGCGATGACTTTCTGGTGGGGTCATAAACTGGGATAATAGTGGCATGACGTATGGGTGGATGTGTTCGGGTCTCGACAAGAATCGTGCTATCCTACCTACAGTTCGAAGCAAGAGGTATGCCTTCAGTATCTAAATGGCCCAGCTACATATCCTGACTGGTTTTTCCTCAAGTGAAAACAATTTGATAAGATTTATTGAAGCATTGGACCATAAGACATGTTGTTACCATGCAGTGACGTAAAGCATCAGTACCTATGAAGTCAGCTGTGCCTTGGAAAGCCATTTCGAGCATCTGACTGAAAATCCCCTTCCGGTTCCAGTATTTGAGAAGAAAATTTAGATACCTTAGTACAATGAGACGAACTTTACAACATCCTTATTTGGCTACTACAGCTCCTTGGTGTTAGTTGTTACCCCTGGAATCCTAGTACATCATGTAGATGCTTATCTTTATCTCTGATCATTAAAGGCAGTGATGATAAGATTGCCAATCAAAGCATCTGACTAAGCTGACACTAAGCGAGAAACTGTCACCCGCAAGATTTTCCCTCTTTTCCGCAACAAACTGCGGACTCGGTCAATCCTGATCAACTGTTCAGCTCATGCTGCTGGAGATTATCTTGCTCAATTTGATAGAATCAACCACTGAGAATGAATTCAGCGATTTGATTCTATGAGATTCCTGGATACCATTGAAATGATTCCAAATATTCTCTCATTGCGAACCCGGCGGAGGGAGGATAACTAACCTGCATTTTATCACACAGCAGCAGTCACGAAACATCATGATATATACCGTTTGATTTTTGCGGCTGTACGAACCTAAGTCTACACAATATCATACCGGCGCAACTTTACAATCCAGCTGTCCGAGTCTCTCTTCTCTATCCATCCGCAAGGACCAGGATAGGGCTTTTGACATACTCTCACGGACCCTTCTTGTCGAAGGACAGTCACCACACGTCACGTCTTGTGACTGTGACCGACTGGAGCTGGTTTGTAAGAGCTCGTTTCGAGTTCTCTCATGATCTGAAAGTTGCAAGAGGAAGTTACAGGGCCTTCATAGTTCATGTTTGCTCGCGTTTTCTACATTCTACGAGAGCATGACTCCTTGCGCACCTACATCCACAGTTTACTTTTTGCATAGACTATTAGTCTTGATAGAGCTATAATACATAAGGGCAGGCATTTCATACATGTCTAGTTCAATTCGGCTTGTTACAAGTAAAGAATAGAATAATAAAATTAAATAGCGGTACAGGTCACAGCTTGCTCTTCGCCTCATCATCAATGACCTTCACCACTACTTTACCCCAGGTTTCTCTGCTTCCAAGAGCCTGCAAGGCTCTGGGTACACTCTCCAATCCCACAAAACTTTCATCTGTGAAGGCTGTCCCTCTGAATTTTCCTTGGGCCACCAGATCAAAGATTCCCTTCCAGACGACACCTACCGTCTCTTTCTCAAATTTGGCGTACTGGCCCCAGTGCAACCCGACAAGACTCACGTTCTTCAGCAGCACCCGGTTCAGTGCGACCTTTTCGATTTTCCCGGCCGCAAACCCAATCACCAGCAACCGCGCATTCCAGGCCACGCACTTGAGACTGGCATCGATCATGCCAACCGGATCATACACGATGTCCACGCCGGCCTTTCCATTCCCTGTGCGGTGCTGCGCACACAACTTCTTCACCTCCTCAGGCCACTTCTGATTGCGGTAGTCGATGACATAGTCCGCTCCAAACTCCCGCGCGACCTGTCTCTTGCGCTCCGTCCCCGCAGTCGCAATCACCGTCGCCCCCTTAGCCTTGGCAATCTGCACCGCGGCCAGCCCGACTCCCCCTGCCGCCGCATGCACAAGGACCCAATCACCCGGCTGCACATTGGCCCGATGCACCAGACCGCCGTACGAGGTCGGCGCGGTCACGAACAAGCCGGC